GTTTTAAGCCTTAAGGCCGCAGCACAGACTCTTGCATAACGCATAACGCATAGTGCATAAGCGAATCAACTAATCAGAATCTTTTTCCTTTCCTGCCATTCTATGGAAAAGAAGAATTTCAATTGGTCGATTCCCTTATGCACTATGCATTATGCGTTATGCAAGAGTCTGTGCTGCGGCTATTATCGGGATCAAGCAGCGAAAGCAGCAACCAATCAACGAGGCGATTTTTACAGTGGCATAAAAAATATTTTTTTGGACTTCTGCACGCTAGACGCGCAAACATTTGCCGCGCGGCAAAATGTGACGCGGTAGCCAATAAGCTTACAGCTCCTAACATGTTCATTGGTTACCGCGTCGCATTTTGCCGCGCGGTAAGCTTTTCCGCGTCCAGTGTGTAGGAGCCATGAGGCCGAAATCAGACTATGCATCGAATATTGAGATTGAAGATTGAAAGATTGAAATTTGACCAATCAAAACAATAGGAGCTAAAATTCCTTTGTCCTCACTGGTCAAATTTTAATCTTCATTTTCAACCTCAATCTTCAACGCGTAGTCTGATTCCAGCCTTAAGCCTTGTGTTCACTATGCTAGAAATTGGTCCGAGATCTCGGAGAGAGAAAAAATTAACCAATCGCATTTAAACAATTTAGTCACATGATCAATGCGATTGGTCAATTCTTTCTTCATCCGAGATCTCTGACGGATTTCTAGCATCGTGGACACTGGGCTTTAGCCGCTTTGTCTATTTGAACGCGTCCATTTTTGTGGATTTCAAGCAACTCGAACAAACCTATTATCCGATTCGTAAATTGTATCTCGTTGGTGATCCGGTATAACCTATCTGTTGTATTATATGTACGTACGTACAGAAATTTTGTAAATACATACAGTTTCAAACATTTATCAGAGAAAATGAAAAAGCTAAAGTGCGTAATCTGTGGTTGTAGCGATTTTTTTAAAGCGTCTGGTTATTCCTTTTGTATGATATGTCAAACACAAAGCCAGGTAAGGTTCTTTGCAAATGCGTATACACGTGTCTGAATACTTTTGAAAAGGGTAATTATTTAGAATAGTCCCCTCTTTTCAGATTTTGATAAAATTAGGCTCATTCGACGTATTTTTGTACGAAACAAAAGAATCTGTAAGAAAAAACGCCAGGTCGGCTCCGCGAACCGAGATATTAAGCGTTAAAGGGTGCTTTCCAGCAAGAGATTAGATGACACAGTGTAACAATCATTATATCCTTGTTGTTTGCTAATGTTTAACGAAGATGACACGCTTTGCTTTCCAGCAAGGACACAGTCAGACACTGTGTAACACAGTGAGTCGTTTCATCCTTGTTTAAAGTTGGCAAACAACAAGGATAAAACGACTCACTGTGTTACACAGTGTCTATTTCCTTGCTGGAAAGCAAGCATGATCACTGTGTCACACTGGCTGCGTTCAGCAGAATGGTTGTTTTGCAACTGTTGTAAGTTTCCTTCGCGCTAATTGGATCATACTTTTAGATCTAGAAGAATGGTCCTATCTCAGCAGACAATCATAAAACGGTTGCAAAACTGTTAAGTCTGCTGAACGCAGCTATTGTGTCGCTTGCTGGAAAGCACGGCTATTTAGGATATCTGTCGTACCGACGAGATGTAGCGATGGTAATTGTTGAGTTTAGCCTCCTCACCTTCGATGTTGACGCGTTTTTGCACGAAATGAACAAATCTGGCAAAAAAATAGTGTCACTCTGCCCCGCGAACAGAGTTATTAATTATTGAAGTTGACAGATATTCAGATTAGGAAATCTATCACATCGATGGCATAGAGGGTTACACAAATTCTCTGCTTTATAAAGACAAATTTTTATAAATTTTCTACATTTAACAAATTTTCTGTTTTAAAAACAAATTCTTTGCATTAAAAATACAAATTTTCTGCCTTCCTTTTTCCTCTTCAACCAATCGGATTTCAGCCTCTATGACAAGGCCAAGTACCATGCGGCACACAATAGGCGATTTTTGGTGCTTAGTACAGCAACCAAAAGCAACCGTGACTAAGGCTATCTTCGTTTTCAGGGATCAGAAGACAAAAATAGCCCTAACCGCGGTTGCTTTTGGTTGCTATACCAGAAGCACGCCAAAAATCGCCTAATATAATAAGCATCCAGAAAGACCTTCTGTGGCCAGAGGACCTCTTAGCTCAGTTGCAGCTGGTTGCAGCTTCCAAAAAGAGTTTTTAGCAATTTCAGCGCTTGTTCCTCTAGACGTATCAACCTCCTATTTACTGTTTGGAGGCGTGAGCAATAAATTAAGCGCTTGTTCCTCGTTGAAGCAGCTGTAGAGGTTCAAGAGAAATTTTCTGCCTTAAAAACACATTTTCCATACAATTTTTATTTTTACAGAAAATTTGTTTTTAAAACAGAATTGATGTTTCAAAGCAGAGAATTGTGCTTTAAAGACAAACACCTAACCAAAACAAATTCTCTGCTGTAAAAACAAAAATTATATGGAAAATAATTTGTATTCTTGAAAAGCAGAAAGTCTGTTTTTAAAACAGAACTTGTTTTTAAAGCAGAAAATGTATTTTTAAAACAGAACTTGTTTTTAAAATAGAGAGAAT